CAGATTATTAGCTTTAAAAAGAGACCAAGCTTGTGAATTTACTCTAAAGGGTTCAAAAGCAGTACTTCATTTAATTTGTGTCTACTTTTTAAAGCGTTTTATGGCATTTTATGCCCGAAGGTTAAGTGTGGGAAACCAGAGGACAAGGCGTCTCCTCGCTCAGCGTGAGCCAGACAGCGCTGCTCATAGCAGCCAGCTTTTACCTTTAAAGATGAGGTAGGTCACCTTTCCAGGTATTCGGGGAGGTCTCTCAGTTAGTAGAAAATCTGTCAGGATCGCCCACTCAGCTGCTGGACACTCCAGCAGATCTAAAATATGGGTATTAATTAGAGGAAATGCTTCTTTGAACAGTCTGGTTGGGATGGGATCTAGCAGACATGTTGATGGTTTGGAAGAAGCGATTATTTTAGATAATTCAGACCTCAACAGGACAAAAACTGTCCAAACATAAATCAGGTTCTAGTGACACTAAAGCTGCCTCATCTGACAGAGAATCAGAGACAGTAGCAGGAAGTTTGGCATTAATTTTATCCCTAGTTAAAATCATTTTATCTAATAAATTATAATGAAGTCATCACTACTTCTAATTAAAGGGATACATGGCTCAACAGAGATAGGACTTTTCATTAGTCTAGCTACAGTACACTGCATAATCAGACTTATGAACACTGCATAATAACCAAGTTTGAACAATACTACTACAACAATAATACAGTATCTCATCTACCTGGTCATTGTTTTTGCACACATACTGTATGCAAATGTATGCACTTTATTATTTATATTTCTATTTATACCACCTCCATCTCGATCTTGATCTGGATTCTACTTTATCCTATTTTTATTTTATTTTATTTTTCTATTTTTTCCTTTTTATATGCCTTTTATTTTACCTTGTTTAATTCGGCATTTCTAACTTTTCATTAATTTATAGTTTATCAATCTGTTTGTGTCGTATGCTAAAAGGCATCGTAATTCCGTTCTACAGTGAATCCCTGATGTTATGTTTGAATGACAATAAAGAGAATCTGAATCTTTTTTTCACCTTATAGTGTCACCGATCTGAGCAACTGTAAACCCTTGGTCAGAGATCTTGTTTTAGGATCCTGGAGAACACAGTGCATTTATCTTCCTGTTTTATCTGTTTTTGCAGCTTCAGCAGCAGCAGTCTCGTCTTATGAAAATCAACCACGACCTACGTCATAAAATTTCTGTGGTGGAGGCTCAGGGGAAAGCTCTGATTGGGCAGAAGGTGGAGCTGGAGGCCAGCGCTCAGGCACAAGCACAGGAAGTCAGTGCCTTGCGGCAAGACGTGGCACGGTTACGGGAACGATTTCAAGGAGAGACGCCTTCGCGGGCCTCTGAGGAATCATTGCCTCAGCCCCCCTCACCAGCTGAGGTGAGACGCAACACCAATATAATAACTACATCAGTCTAACAAAAAATTAAATACACCTGTCCTCCTGCAGCATCTGCAGCTACGTGCTCAGAGGAAGAGTCTCTGTCACTTTAAGGAGGGTTATGCAAAATCTCCTATTTTGAGGTATATGTTGTGACATTATGTCATTCCCTCATCAAAAACATACTCAGTGTGATGCTTTGACTCAAAATGCATGTTTGAGAAATCCTTGAATCATATGTGGTAGCCATGTAGAGCTGTCTATACTCATGCTGGTACAAAGCACCACCTGTTTGGACAAAGCACCTCCCTGGAGCTCAGTCTGCGGCGGAGCTCCTGCCCGAGGGAGCTCCCCTCCCCCGAAGATGTGCTGAAGTGGGAATGTTGGAAACGGGAGGAAGTAAAGAGAAAAGAGGCCAATTTCAAGGCATTTAGAAAGTCAGATTTATTGTTAATACATACAGTATTTTCACAACAACTGAAAATAACATAGTTACTTGACTGTGGTATAGAATTAAAATATGTGTCTAGAAATACGTAGTACACCCCAACCCCCCCCCTCTTAAAACAGAAAATTACTAAACAAAGCATTTCATTATAAACCAGTAGGAAAATGATTACAAAGATTGTCCTAAATAAATAATAATAATATAAATAAAATTTAGGGATACACCGATATGAAAATTTCAGCCGATGTCAATATCTGATATAATTATTGCTGTTATGGCCGATAACTGATATTTGTGTAATACAAACACAAATTATATTATACATATATGCAAAAACACACTTGGGTCTTTTTTTTGATGCCATAAATAAATGACCAGACCTCTGACATGGCTCCCTACTTCAGTTATTCCTGGCTACGCAGCGTCAATATCATGATCAAACTGATGCTGCTCAACCAACCATCTCCCCTCCCAAAACAGAAACACAAAGCTAAAAAGTGGCAAATCAATATAATAATAATATTATTATATTATAATAATAATATCGGCCCAGTTTTACGTATCGAACCAAAACTGATATTCTAAAAAATGACCAATATTGGCTGATACCTATATTAATGCCAATATATTGTGCATCCCTAATAAAATTTACGTACTTACCAACCTAAATAAGTAAATAAGTTTTTTAATTATAAAAGATTCAGTATATTCTGTTTTTAACAATAAAATATACATATTGAGGTTTGTTAAATTCACATTTCTGTAAGAATATTTTAACGTAAACAATAATAAATTACTAAAGTTAAAGCAAAGTATATTCCTAAATTAGACAAAGTAAAAATTAAACTAACTACATTATTTTAAACTTGCACACTCACAAAATTGTGATTGTCATTTTTCATAACCCTGCCCTTTTTTCTCCTACCCAGTGAGCACCTTTTTTATTAGCACTGGCTCCTGGTTGATAGGAAAACCCACTGAGACTCCATCCATCTGAAGGAAATTTTGTGACTGATTTACTGAATTTTAGAAACAGTCTTGAAGGAAATTTATTCATTACCATTGAGTCTTAAATGCATTTCACATATTTATGCTAGACATGGTTAGAATATTTCTATAATTAATTTATTACCCAGTTTATTTTCATGCTGTGATTAAGGTTGTTGTGAGAGCAACAAATTCCTGAGGGATTATTTTACGCCTTGCTTTAATACAACACAGACACATAATTTTTGTACACCAGGACTTCCTTGTTAGAAAACTGTGTCGACTAACAAAAGAAGTCATGTTCCTCACTCTATATTCATCATTTTTCTTACACAATGGTGATCCCTAGATTGGTTGACCTTGGCTAGCAAAGAACCATTATATTTTTATTTTTGACTGCTGTCCAAGAGCCTGAGAGGACTTTGAGATGTCAACTGCTGAGACCAAGGACAGCCAAACTTTCAATATGTCAGTCTCTTTTTTTTACAAAGAGGATTTCAGCCAGCTTCTCCAGAAGATAGTGGGGTTTGAAATTAAAGTGTAACTTACCCCAAAATCAACTTTTTAAACAAATAAACTGTCCAAATTGGGTCTTAAGGGTAACACCTTGCTATTTTTGACCTAAATTTAACGTTTTCGTCTAAAATAGTTTAAATCGTCAATATTTGGTCAAAAACGGCTTGGTGCTGCCATCTAGGGGTTTAAAAAAGACGACCACGTTTGAAGTACTTTGTGACGTGCTGTACAGCGTGACGTGTCACAGTACTGTGCTCAGTATAAAAGCCTCTGTAGAGACACGCCCTGCAGAGATTCAGGAGTTAGCCATAGCATTGTTGATGGTAGCTGTGGTAGAAGCTGSYTTCTCCTCAGCCACGGTGAMAACATGGAGTCTATCAGTCATAAAACAAACTGAGTTAACTTACACATCCTCTTTGTGCTTCAAGAGTTTTAAACTCTGGTTGTTGTGTCACGTAGTTTAGATCGGGCCAAAAATACACACACACACACGTTTGTTTCTTGACCCCGTGGGGACC